TATTATTATTAAAAAACCTAAAAATTGTTAATTTATTAAAATAATAATAAATTGATAAACATTCGATTAAAAAAAGCAATCTATAAAAAAAATCCTTAATTAGAAAAAGAATAAATAAATCGGTAATATTAATTATACCCTATATTAATAAAGTTATCCAAGCATCAATTACTTTCTTCAATATAATATTAATAATAAAATCAGTACAAATTCTTCAATTTAAAAGATATTTGAATTTTAAAAAGATATTTAAAATCTTTATTCAAAATGGGATTAGAAAGTATATAATATTATATATAAAGCTTTTAGAATTAATAGTATAAGTAATATATAAAAAAAACCTCAATTAAAAAAAATGATATACAAAAAAAACCTTGATTAAAAAAGGCAATGTATAAAAAAAACCTCAATTAGAAAAACCAGCAACATAAATATTCCTTATATTATTAGCTTTATTCTATTTTACTAGTTTCCATAATACTTTTATAATAATAATAATAATATTATTAAACTTAGCAAATCAAGGCATATCGAATATATTATTTAACTTTCAATTTTTTTTCCTAACCTTGATTGTATATTTAATTTTTATTACGAATAGATTACTTTTCAAATAGGAATATGCTATACGAATTATATATATTCAAGATATAAAATATAAAAAAAAGCAAAAAGATATTGATTAATTGATTGAATGAGAGGAGGATGGTAGAAGATTAATATGTTGAAGACATCAATTCATATTCTATATCCAATTACAAAATACTATAAATCAAATATTATACAGAGCATTACTACTAGCTAATATTATATTAGATTAATAGGACAAACCCTGAACTGTGATCTGATAGTATAGTTTGCTATGTTATACTATATACAGGGTAGCTTTACTTATATTATATATTAATTAATACTAGCAATCATCAATTGTTTAGGTATTAATATGATAAAATTCTATATTGTTTTATTGAATAATTAGATAATCTTATTATAATATATATATATTATATTAGAATTTAAAAGTTTATATTATTCAAATTTAAAATCACTTAAAAAGTCCTTTTAATAGTAGGATTCTGAAATATAGTTTTTTTAATTTTATTATTATAATTCTAATTATTATTCTTATTTTTATTATTAAAATCGATTATATATAATTCAGCTATTTTATACCTCTTTTCGGCTAATTATTATTCCCCCTACCTCTACAAATTCAATTTTTTATAAAATTAATATAAATCGATCAATTCAAGAGATAATTTAAATCTATTTTCAGAATTAAATAAATAAATGAAAATAAGCCTTAGTTTATTATAAAATAATTATAAATTTCTTATTATAAATTGGATTTATAGTAGTAGCCAAATTGAATCATTTTGCTGGTTATTACTTTTTTTTGCTTTCGAAGATTATTATAGCTTAGGGTTCGATCTCATTAAATTTAGGGTTATTTCAATTCAGTATTAAACCATTAATTAAAGAGATATCGAAAAAGTAATTTTATATATATATAATTCAATTGAATCTCTATTGATTCCTTTTTTTAGATTTTTAAAAAGTCTAAAATTGAAGCCAGGAAGGGTGGTGATCAATTGGAGAGTTTTTGGGAGGGTCACCACCCCCCTTAGGGTAATGGTCACCACCGGTACTGACCACCAAAAAAATCCTTAGAATAATAGTTAGGGTAGTGAATTTGATAATCTTAAACTCGAATTATTATTTCTTTTATTATTAAAATTATAATTATTATTGAGATTATTTCGATTTTGTTAATTAGAGAATTGAAATTAAGATATTTATTTTAAAAAAGATTTAATCTTTTTTTTAAATAAATCCTTAAGATTTTATTTCTTTAAAGTATTAATAATATAATTAATAATATTATTTTAAATAAATATCTTTTTTATTTCTATATTCTTTTGAATATTATATATTATAGAATAGCTTTTATTTAGGGATTTATAGATAGTGTTTAATTTAATAAATCTTAAATGAAAATTAGAATTAATAAAATCGGTAATAAATATTTTAATCAAGGTTTTTTGAATATTGATTTAAAGAATATTAATATTATATTTGGAGGAAGGTATATTTTTATAGTTTATTTTTAATTATAGATTCTTAATATATTGATAATATTTTTAAATAGATTTACTTTTTTTTTAAACTAAAGAACTTATAATATTGAAAACCATTTATATAGAATCTTTATTTTTATTATTTGAAAAACAATTAACAAGAATATTAATAAATTTATCTTATAAAGCCTTATTTATTAAATTAATATTATTTATAATTTTAGAAAACTTTCTATTTTTGTTTAATTATTCATTAATTCTATTAAAGAATTTAAACAGAATAAGATTAAAGAAAATATACAATTTATAAGTATTATTGTTAATAGCAAGGTATATAGCTTATTTGGTTTTTCGAATTTATAATTTAATAATATTCTTTTTTTTTGAAAAAGATAATATATTATTAATCTTGATTTTAGTTTATTTAATATAAACTATTAAAACAATAAAGTTATTTGATATTATAAAAGGATTTGGTGAATAATATTTCGAAAGGATTTCTTGAATTTGAAGAATAAAAAGTCGAAGTTGTAGTTTAATAAATAGTAGGATTAGGTTTTTAAAGGGGTTTTATATATCCTCTAGTAATTGCTAAGTGAGTAGGAGATAAAGGTTTTATTTTTCGGAACTAAAATAAGGGTAATATCGAAAAAATCGAATAATAGTTTGGATTTACTTGAAGGGGATGGTATTGTTAGTATTGATATTATTTAAAGTGAGATTGAAAATCTATATAATAAATTTCTAGAATCAAAAGTTATATTAAAAAGATATCTTAAAAATCAAAAGGAATTTATATTTTAATAATAAAATAATATTAAATTCTTACAGAAAATGCTATACAAATAAATATATAAAGTATTTCTGAAAAAAGGAATATTTGAGAAATAAAAAAAAGGATCAGAAGGAATTCTTCAAATACTGGATTTCTGTAATTATATAATAGTCCTTTAAATCAATAAGATTATATAATATCTATAACTCTTTTAAAAGCTTTTTTGATGCCAGTATAATAATCGTTATACAAACACTACTATACAATAAACTTAAAAATAAAAAGGGTTTCTGAATATTCTTAATTAAAAAGCTTAATTGCAAAGAGAATAAAGATAAAATATTAAACATATCTTGAATCCCTATATAAATCACTAGAAAAAATATATAGAATAAATAAAGTTTTAATATTAAGTATAGTATATATTATATTGAAAGCTATATACAATCTAGTTGACTATATTAATCAAGATGATTACGTAATACGCCTAATGCGTTTAGCCTGTTTTCTATATCTGATTCAATTAAACTACTGAAAATGGCTCTTACTACTAATGGAAGAGCTGCGAGAGCCTTACACTGCACCTAGTATATTACAGATTACAAGTTGCTGGCATTTCATGGAGCTGACAAGGGTGAAAATAAAATTCGACATGACGGATGATAGTTACCCCATCTTGACTAGCGTTTTGATTCAAATGGTATTCGTTAAAATTATCCGGAACCCATCAATCTTCATTTCTTCAATTGCGATTTTCATTTGCTCTGAAATACGAGACTGTACTTTTTAATGCAATCTATACCAACGTAAATTTATCTTTTTTAATCCAAACTTTCGAGCAACAGCCATATGATGGCATTTCCTTGGTCTCCGTATGGTGGTGCATCACCTTTCAATCAAACCCTGTCACAAGGAAGAAGTTTTAATACGAATATTGTAACCATACCTGATGGCAGCTCTCCATCGACTACTTGGTTACCTCTCTACAACCTACGAACTGCATATCAGGAGGATGAAATTGTAAATCTGATTCATGAAATTGTCCAGGACTATGTCCGACTTTCAGGAGTCTCGGAAAATGAGGTAGTTTGGGCACCAACAGGTGGACACCATCTCGACGAATCGTTATGCAACTTACTTGGCATCTCCGAAACAGCAAAATCTTTGATACGGCGTCTACCAGTTCCCGGACCAAATCAAATCAACCAAATAAATCTATTTGAATCTAGTTCTCTAAGAGATGTTACCACTAGCTCTGGCCTCAAAAGCAGCCGTGAAGCTCCGCCACGTCCAGACTCGGCCCAGGATTACATACTACCTCATGAAGTGCAGCTAGCTATTGGAGATAGTGAATCTAGCGCTATTTTACTTGACACAAACGAAAGTAGGTCATACTTCATTTTTTCTCATCCTATCGGCTTGAATTCTTAACATCTGTTGCATAGATACGATTAGAGTAGTGTCCCTCGCCCAAGGTCCAGAGGTTATGAACCCACCTTCGGCTATCTTAGAGAGGCCTCAGGATCCTTACCACTATCGAAACTACTGGCCTCGGCATGCTCCAACCTGGCTTCGTGTTCATTTACAAAAGATCAAGTCTCTCGATACAATTCCTCCTGGAATGCAGGAATATTCCCTCAGCTATCTGGATTTTGAATATGAATGGATGGTAAGCAGTATTTTAATGTGCATTTGATTTGACAATGGTTTTAAAATAAAGCATAGCAGAAGTACTGACAGTCTGTCTAGCGACGCAAAATTAAACACACTCTTGAAGGAACCTACGGTTGGCCTAGTAACTTTCAACAGCTAGCATGGGACCAAGACCGTGAGCGCATTTGGGAAGAAACTGATCAAGAATTCGAGCGCTTGGGCCGACCTGATGTGCTACGTTTTTTGTGATCGAGGGTTGCGATTTGTTTGCGAGCACAGAATATCAATATCTTATACTTTGCTTTTGTCTATTATGCTGAATTGCTCTTGAATTGAATTCTTCACTTGCTCTAAGCTATGCATGTGTTTTCTATACTTTATAACTATATATGGATTAATATCAGCCTAAAATAGATCTATAAAACGAATCCATATGTCTCCTGAAGCTCTATATAGCTTGATCGTGACAAAAACCGTATATTCCAAGACCACCTCTAAATCATACCCATCCCAAAAGCATCACGTGCACCGTACTTCTCCCATTTTCGACGTCTCACCCTACGGGAAACATTCTCTTTGCACTTCTTAAATGGCTTGAAAATAATTGAAAATCTTCGTTCGTCATCAGAATCGTAGTCCGAAGAATCATCCGAGTCATCTTCTGAATCATCTAAACTTGTATCCAAATCTGTATCTGTTGTATCTTTATCCGAACTCCCATATTCCGAGTCTTTACCTTTGTAAGGATTATATGGGGAGCTATCATGATCAATAGCAGTTCCCTTGTGACTACTCTTCCCCCGTGATTCGTGCTTAGCGTGGTCCGGATGATCGTAACTTTCATGACGTGAACACTGAGGCGGACTCGAACTCTCTTCTCGTTGCATATTTCGGCGTTTTGATTCAGCACTTGATTTAATCTTTCTAGCTTCATTTACTCTTGAGAATTCCTCCCATTCTTTCATTTTGTGAGTAGTTTTTTTGGAGGCTGGAAGTGAGCTCGGTTGGGTCTTTTGCTGACAATCGGATAGCCAGCCACCAACATCGCGAAATCCGGAGTTGAAGTTGGATTCTACGCCAAATCTTCCGTTAGCGACAGTAAGGGTGCTATCGTTATCACTAGAAGTTGGTGCTGGTCTGGGGGACCTAGGAGTTCTCGAACGAGATGGGTGGTATCCGTAATTAATAATATTGTCGTGAATCTGGGGTTTTGGTGAGCTGGTAGCAGTACGTCTGCCACGCTCTTTGATTGGAGGGCTGGACTGTTTAAGACTCTGCTCCGAATCCGAATCGCTAGACCCTGTAGAGAAACGAGTATATTTGCCATCATACGCCGTATTTTTGGAGGCTTTTCTTCTTGCCTGACCCGTAGAAACCAAATTCCTATCTTCATGAGGCTTACGCACTTTCGTAGCATTTTTCCGGTCCGATTTTTCCATGAAAGCTAAAAGTGCTGGCATATTTTTATCCAAAGTACCACTCGAGTAACCATTTTTGATAGCCTTCCTTCGAAATTCTTTCCAAATGGCTTTGTCGTCATCGCCGTAACTCGTCAACGCTGATTTGTCGTCCCTAACATGCTCTTGCGGGTGTAAGGCTGCATAAGCTCGAAGTTCTTTTAGAATATCTTTTGTGTCATTCCGAACATCTCCAAGAGAGCTTACTGAAAGCACATTGAGAAGTGCTGTGATACTCGATGTGTATGATGTTATCTTCTGTCTGGTTTCCGGGATGTCCTTCATGTCGCCATTGCCATATTTAACTTTCATCATGAACTTTTTGGATCCCGAAGTTGTTTCTTTTGACAATCCATTGTATTTGGACAAAGATTCGTCGATTCCTTCCAGCATATCATCGCATCCAGAGAGAACAGTTTTCAGATCTTTCCACGCTCGGTTGTTTTTATCGCTTAGAAGTGTATTTGGAAGATGGGCTTCCTTTTCCAAATTGTGCAGAATCATGTATAGGCTTTCTAATTCTTGAGAGATCTCATGATGAGCAGAACTTGCTTTTCTTGAGTTTTGAAAAGCATTCCATGCTAAAGTCGTCAAAGTGATGATATCTCCAACTCCCAAACCTCCAAGTGACATTTTGATCTTGTTGTATCGATTCTTGAAGAGGTGATTAATTACGAAGATGTTGATAGTAAATAAAGTAAAATCAAGAAAACTTTTCAGTATCAATTGTCCAAAATAATACGAAGCCGAGTATATACTTCGAGAATCAGCTTGAGGCGCAGTGAATATAACCCATGCATCCCCTCCCCCCTTGGTGTGGTAAGCAGAAAATTCGCCCACCAGCCGTATCCTACGATGTACTGCCCCACATTTACATATTGGTGATCCAAATAAACTGATGACTCATACCCAATCGTTTATTGTTTTACGACATCATACAATACCTTTCACAGCTGCTGCCTATACATTGTAGTTATGGGCCCATGTGAGTGTGCCCTACCATTTATGAATCATTTACTAGATGGTATACAGCCACAATCCGATTGAAATAACTCCTTCTTCAAGACTTCAACCCAGGATCAAATTCAAAGTGAAAATAATTGTAGGGACGGAGAATATAGATCAAGTGCAGGAGTCGAGTAGCTATTTTTGTAATGGCTCAATGGATCATCTGAACTACCGACTGTTCATGCTGGAAAATAAACAATAAATAAAAAGTTGACAGTAAATTGAAGAGCCTCAAAAACCATATATACAATCTTCATGTACCTACCCATCGTCCTGCTTGTACATTAGTGACGCTATCAATATTGGAAACTCAAGATATTTTGTTACGCTTGTTCACTGATATCTTCAACCTGTTGAGCCTAATACTGAAGCTATAAGGAGGACAATACATCCGAATAAGATATTCAATCAAAGGTTTCATTTATGAAGACAGTATATATGAGAGCAATACAAGAAGCACTCTACGCGACTCTAACATACGGATTCACTTATACTTACTAATACATCTCAGACGAAAGAATTTATCTTCGTTAACTATGTATATAAGATCTTTATTGAACGAATCAACTGTAACTCCCGAGTAACCTTCTAGATAGAAGAAGCTCAGGTGGATTCGCGACAGCTTGACCATTGACGCCGATCAACAGCCAGATCAAGAGTCTATCTAAGTGTCATATCGATGCTATGTCGCGTGTAACGGTGAGTTTATATCACCTGAATTAGAGAGATAAGAGGGTGGTATTCGGACTTTGAGGAAGGTCAAGATGGCCAACTCGCATTTGAATTAGAAAAGTGATTGACAAGGGCTCCGGCATCGCACCCCCTTGGTAGCTTATAAAAATAGTAGTAGTTTCCTCATTCGAAGGAGGACTAAGGAAGCTAGAACTCGTAGAACTTCTAGAAAATTATAGCTAAATCTGATTACGTCATTCAAGCCTATTCACCTTGTTACATCAAGAATATAGGATGGTATATTATAAGATTATAATTTATTCTCTACTGATATAAAGAATGATTCTCAATGAGTAATCGGAGAGATAAATAAACAGTAACAAATTTAAATAGTAGTAAAAAAAAAGATTATTAATCAACGAAAAATCTTTATAAATTCTATAATTATAACGAGTATTAATTAATATAGTAATGACTCAATATAACGTTAAGTTTAAGACTAGCTTGAACTGAGCGATCGTTACTATATAAGAGATAAAGAGATCTCTTAAGGATCTCTTTTCTTCTTAGCTTTCTTATTCTAATTATTTAACCTCTATGATATACTATAGAATATAATCGTAATAGATTCTATAATCGTAATAGAAGGTTATTAAGATTATAAATTAGTTGAATATTAAATATAAGTAAAGCCGATATTAGAGTCTATTCGAATTGGTTTTTTAGATAATATAGAGCTATATTTATTATTAATATGAATTCAAATAAATATTTATTTATTACGAAGAAATAGCTATATCGATTAATTACCTTGATTAGGAGACAGTGATATATGATAATAATAAATTAGATTGAAATATAATTATAAGAATTATATCAATCTTATATGTTTGAAACGAGTAATGGAATTGTTTAATTCAATATTAGTATTTGTTAATATAGATAATAAAAAAGCGTTTTTCTAATTATAAAAGTAAACACTTCGAAGTAGTACTATACTTACTTATATTATATTATAAAAAATGACGATTTTTGTAATATTATTAAATACTAATATAATCTATAAAATTGTTTTATATTTTGCTGATGATAAAATTGATTTTTTAAATGTTATATTATACTATAAAGAGCTTTGAATTTAAATTTATAAATATTAAAGATTTATACAAAAACTTGTTAATTCTATAACAAAGCTTCGATTAGTGTTATTTATCATATTATTACTTTATATTTTATAGATCTATATATATAAAACTAGATTTATAAAAAAATAAACTAAATTATTAGTTAATCTACAAGTCTTATTTTAATAATGAAAATCGAGTATCTTTTATAAAACCAAATTGTATTCTTGTAGAGTAACGAAAGGGATATTAACTAGATAGAATGCAAATTTCTGAAATATTCAAATAACTACGCTATTGAACCCGCGATGATCGCTTTATTACAATCAACTCCTGCTCTTCGTCACGCATTGTATTGTTGTCAGTCTTACTTGCATCTTGTTTTATCTGTCCTACTGCAATCAGCTCTGCTTCCGCATGTCGGTTTCTGTAAGATGTTCCCGAGATTGCTAAGGCTAATCCTACTACCTCCCAGGAAAAAAGAATGGGAAGCGCTCTGTACAAGACATCTCCACATCCACTCTCGACTCGAATAATCAATGAGTAGAATTCGTGAGCAGGTAGAGCATAAGCCCAGCGGTAGAACCCTGGACTCAGCTCGAATGGATAAATGCTTGCTGCTACATTTATTATCGCCCACGGGAGGACAAAAAATGGAAGAAAGGATACAGGAATAAAACCAGTAGCCGCATCCAGAACAAGGAAATTGATATGCATATATATCCAATATGACATCCATACAAGTGCGAATTGACTCCCACTGACATCCCAGGACTCTCGGAAAGCCCAAACATAACCGGTCGTTGTAAGAGATGCGATTAACGTGTACACTATCGAGATAACCAACCTCATCAAGCCAATTCGTTTAGAGTTGAGACGACCATAAATATCAAACTTGTTGTTGATTCCATTAAATGCCATGAGGAAGAAGAACTGTTGAATAATAGGTAAGACTACGCTCACAGTATTATACAAAACACGGGTGCCTTGTTCAGTTGGTTTGATGTTGATGTTGGATGCTTTTATAGGGTTCAAGAAGGCAAGAACTGCGTTTTCATTGCTTGCGTTGAGTGAAGAAAGAGCTTGTGATCCGTTGAGAGCATGGTAAACTGAAGATACAGCACCAATAAGAGTTTCCAGATTTCCAGAGATATCGCCTAGCTGTACAGCCGGATATCGAGCGCCATTGTTGATATAGGTCAAGGAGTCACTCGAGTTATAAGTACTCGCCGCAGAGCCACCACCCAGAGCCTGAGACAAACGATTCGATGCTCCCGGTTGAGCAACGACAGCTCCCCAATAATCACCACGGCATACAGCTTTTTGAACCTCAATTATGGAGGGATATTTGGCTTTAGTATGGAATTGAAGCTTGGGAAATTCATCTCCCTGGAACTGTTCGTATGCCACTGATAATGCTTCGCCAATGATACCTCCGTCATAGTCAACAGCCAAAATATTCAAGTTATGGGCCCGATATCCGCTTTTGAAGAGGATGCCGTATAGGTACGACATCGTTGAGAGAAAAAGGAGGATAATCATAATCCCAGACATAAGAATGCCTATGCCAAACGGCTTCCTCTTGCCGTTCCAGAATGGATCGCGCCATAAAAGTCGCATTGCCATGCTGAGAAGAAGCGATCTTGTTTTAGATGAAACGCAATAGGATACGTACAGATGGAAGGAATGTAGATAATTAATGAGACAAGGGTTTTGAGTCAAGTGAAGAGAGTGTTTTTAACAGCGAGAAGATTATGGTTCAATGAAACTCTTTTTCTTCTAATCGAAGTCTGACATATATAATCTGTACCCGGAATGCGGACATTATTTTTTGGCAGGCCGAGATTGAGGGGAGTGCATGAGATTGACTGGAAGTGGAGAACCCGTTTTTATAAAGCATAGACGAATGATTGCCAGGACGGCCCTGATTTCGGCTTTCTCTAAATGATATGCTCTGCTCTGGAAAATGGATATAAATCTACGGAGCTTCTGGGATCACTCTCCGAAGCTTGATTTTTTAGTGCTCAGTCAATTTTTTAGAACGCTAGAATAATCATATCAAGCCAAGCATCATGAACAAGTTCTATTGCTACCTTGATTGTGCTGGTCATAAAGACAGAACTAGCGGCCGCCCCCACTCGGGCTACCCTCCCCTCCGTAATTATTAACCTTACACCGTGAGCCCGGACATCTTCACTCCTGTGCATAGTATAGATCGACATACCGGAGATAGTGCCCGGGGAATTGACTTTGCTATCCACGATTAACCGATTATGACCTTCACTTGAAGCGATGCGCGGAAATCTATTGGGTACTAGCATAGCCACTCGAAGAGCCTCGTGAACGGAGGCTGATTGATAGGGGATCGATTCTAGCTGAACCAAGCCTAACATTGCATCAGGATCTCACAAGGCTTGCGCTATATCGTCCTTAAGTCCGCTTCACGCGGAGATTAACCTTATATGCGATGTGATTTGCAAAATGCCGAAAGTCAATGTGAAAGCGATAATCTCCGAATCGGCAATGAGAATGTCCATTGCCTCAGCAATAATTGGTCTATCGTCCAACACGGCCTTCAAGTCGTCAAATACAACTAGTAGCTCGCGTTTCTCGGCCTTTGTTAGAGTCTGATTTTTTGCCTTGACCTCGTATATGACCATAGAGCTGTAAGCTCTTTACTCATTGTGACGACCACAACCTTTGGAGTGCGCTCCTCAAATCTGCACATGATTAGCTGGTAAATCAAGTCCCGCAGTCCCAGAGCAGCAACATCGAGGGGCCACTAGGATTGGTGTTTTAAAATTATCATCACTCTTATCCCTGAGCATCCTGCTCCCGATGATCGAGTCAACGGTGAGGCAGCATGAAGCAGAACCGGGCTTAAATAGGATAATCTTTACCAGGTGCACTCAAGATCTCTAATTTTCTTCACAGACGATTTACTTTGTCGATTATCATACATTCCACCTTGACGATGCCAGCTTACGAGAAAAAATGGATGAAGCAATCGACGTCTCTCTTTTTGTACTCCGTACAAGAGAAGCTCACGCTCGGCAAACACGGTGTGGGGCATGTTAAAGCCAGCTTAAATATCCGATACTTTGAGACAAGGCTTTCTAAGATTGCAGATAGCTTTGTAAAGCGAGAAACCTGTGAAATACAATGTAGGAACGAAGCATACGATTACAACTGTCAGGAATAAGATTTCTGTGATACCTAATACTAATTGCACGTTTTGAGCCTCATAAAACTATCAGTAGCTTTACGGTTGTACTCTAACTTTAATCCTACGTAATCAGAATCCGGGACTTATATGAAACTCATTGTACTTTCACAGCATGGGAAAGTGATAATCTTTGATAACTATTCAAGATATGAAGACATTAAAACAACCAATTGAAGTATAGCGCCTCGTATACTTACTTCATTTCTGTTGTGCTCATATGAATCAATCAATATATAATGCTATTACTTAAAACAGAGCTGACTACCTTGTCATACGTTTTCATAAATAACAAAGATTACTATTGAATCTCGTGCAATGTAATGTTACCACGGCTTAATTTTCAAATTAATATGATTCAAGGTGAATGTCTCCCCAGGAAGATTGAGTCAGGGAAGAAATGCGATCAATCGAGTTGTCAATTGTCGTTCAATTAATTTTGTACGTCTTCGTCTTCATATGTGAGCAAGGTATCCTGTCATTTTTTTGTGGTATATAGCTTGTGCTTTGGCACGATTGATTGTAAAGTCTCTCAATTTTCAAAGTTCAATATTCTCGCAGTCATGGCTGTAGGAACGTACTCATTGGCAGAAGTGATGGCTGTTGCGGAAAGTCACCCTTTCTATAATAAGAATATTTTGTACCCATCCGATCCACAAACAGTCACGAAGTTTCGGGATTTTGCTCGCAGAAATGGGAAGGAATTGGATTTTCAACAGCAGCCATTGCTTAACAAAAAAATACTGTGCGTCATTTTTATGCCCATATTAAACTTGGTTGCATCTGGGAACTAACCTGGATCAGGTACAAATCAATTGAAAGACTCACTCATGATGTGGATCCCAGAAATACCTATCGCCATGGCTCATACATGAGCATTACTGGCGGTGGATCTGGCGCAATTCCCATGATGTTCGCCGTAGACGTGCATGAGAATCGTCGACAGCGGGCTCGGATGGGTGATTTACTCAGAATCTGTGGTGTAATCGAACCGAAAGACATGGTGTTGTCTACTCACTTGGCTGGAGGATTTTACAGGTACTTCATCACAATCCATGAATAACTTTTGTTGTCCTTATCCCAGAGAAACTAACATTTACAAGATCACTAGATCTAACAACAGAAATAATAGAAAATGCAGGAGGAACTGTGCTTAGCGCCGGTGCTTACATGCCACCCGCCGAAGTTGCACAATCTCTAGCCAACTACCATGTCAACGCTCTTACTGGCGACGGTAGCCAAATTGTTCAGACTGTCCAATACATATCCGTGATGGCAAAAGAGGATCGTGAGCGTATCGTTCTGAACAAGATCATCTACACCTCAGAGCCATTGACCGGTCCTCAACGCGTTTTTATCAAATCTGTGCTGGGGGATGTCAAGATTTTCTCCATAATGGGTAGTGCTGAAGCAGGTCCCTGGGCAATCAGCAGTCCAAAGCTGACTGGGGAGCGAAGTATTACAGAAATTGCCACCGACTTCATCTTTGACACGCGAAGTATGTTACTCGAGATCTTTCCCCCTTCCGTCAGTGATGATATAGCGCCACTCATCCCCAAATGCCTTCCACAAGGAGAGAAGGGTATCATAGTGCAAACTTCGCTCCAAAGATTGCGCAACCCACTAGTACGCTATATTACCGGCGACATTGGCTCTATTCATCTACTTCCAGATACTGCTTCTGCTGTAGACCCTGATTTTGACCGGAAGTTTCTACGTATTCTACGTATGCAAGGGCGTGATCATCGGTTCAGCTTTAAGTGGCATGCTGCTTATTTTGAGTTTCAGAGAATTGAAGCCTTCATGCGAGAAAAAGAATATGGTGTCTTGCAATGGCAAATCATCTTGGGCCGATTGGATGATACACCACAAGCGAGCTTGGAAATCCGTTTACTTCGATCGCCTCCAAGAGATGACATTCTGTCCGTTCAAACTTTGACGGAACGATTAGAGAGCTTTTTTCTCATTATACCGGAAAATAAACATCTGGCACGAATTGTGTTCCTGAATAATCTGAATGGGTTCGAGCGAAGCATTACTGCGGGAAAAGTAATTAAATTTGTGGACCATTGGCATTGAGTTCCGTTTGATTGCTAGAATATTAATGAATGTATTGAATTTTTAACGTTGCGAAGTTGCAAATCGCTGGTGAAACTAGCATTCAAGATATGATAGAGCAAATACATTCAAGATTGATGCTGTTACCGGTTGATGTCTGCTCGATGATTATTTTGGTTACAACAATTAATGATGTTGAGGTTGGTTGATAGTTTCGCTGTGTTTCAGTTTCAATTGCTCCAAATAAATAAAGTATTCATTCGTCCTGGATTGACAGTAAGCTTAAACATGGGTCAATAGAGTAGACGTGATAGAAATAAATAAATTATTAGGAGGGTTAGGACTGGATCTTGATTGATAGTTCATGTTTTCTACTAGGCCACATCATGATGGGTGGGGCGGCCCTGGAGCTAAATTCAAAGTAGCTTTTACTGCTTCGACTCTAAATTAGACGAATCATTCAATCGTTTCTCTATATACTTGATAAGAACTTTTCAAAGTCTTCTCTCTGTTTTTTTTATATAAATAATTACTTATTTACTTATTTACTTTATAAAAACAAATGTTTCTTTATGTAAAGCTCTTTTATAACATAAAAGAAAATATCAATATTCAAAGTATCATTTTATAACATAATATCCCGCGTCTTATTCTAGTATAGACCTTTTTTAGATACTCTCCTCAAAGCCAAGCTTTTCATCTTTCTCTTTATGTTCAAGAAAAGACAGGGCAAGAACGGCAATCATGAGATATAAAAAGCCTATCGTTGTTCATTAGCGACTCAATATAGTGAGCATAGACATCTTACTCCAAATCCAGTTCATATATCGGTACCCGATTAGCTCCTTAAAAGAACCGCCTATGATAGGACCCAACATCATCCCAAGAGATGCACCAGCATCGAGCATCGAGAATACGCGCGACAAACAACCTTGAGACCCAAAAGCATGGGGAGTCTTTTTTTGAAGTGCTTTTCCAGCAGCTAAAAGGTCTTGTTATCATAACAGTCATTATAGTTACATCATAGAAATATGAAGCTGACTTACCAACCAACTCAGCGGGTGCATTACCAGACACAAATGGTCGCAGGCCACCTATGATAATGATAGATGCTATGTAGAGCGTACCACTTCCAGCCTGGCTACCAGAAATACCTAAAAGTCCCAGGAATACTGCCTGGATGATAGAACAAACGACAGCAGGAATTCTTGCTCCAAATCGGTCGCGAACCCAGCCGGCTATGGGGCCAATAAGAAGTCCAGGGACTACAAGACCGACAAAGAGGAGTCCAACGATAGTAGGGCCCCATCCATACATCTCTTGAACTTGTAGAGGCAGAGTGGCATTAAAGCTGGTGCTCACAGTCGTACTCGTAATCGTCATCAATAAACAGGTAACGACACGACCATCAGTCAACATAATTCTCCAGAATCTCCCGGCGCCAGATACAATTTGATCGCCCTCTCTTTCGAGAAGTAAGTTCGTTCTCTCCGAATTACTATCCGGAGTCAAACGAGCGGTTGTATCCGGAGCCTCTATCATAATGACACGTGCCAGAAGGTCAATTATTAATATGACAAGCGGAACGGACCACGTCACCCAGTAACCTGCAACCTCTAAAAGCAAACCAGATACAGCAGGTCCACCAATTGTCCCGGTGTTAGCAAAAGATGACATCATACCCAATCCAAAGCCTCGCTCGTTCTCTTCGTAGATGCTTGCGACTGTTGCAAAGCCAATTATCCATACAGCGGAGCCAGCGACTCCTTGCATTGCGCGCCCTATGAATAATATAGGGACTGAATGAGTGATGGCTACCATACCAGTGCCAATGATGCACCATGCAAGAGAAAACAGTAACCAAAGCTTGCGGTTCGAGCTCTTATCGGCAAAATGCCCGATTATAGGACTAGATAACATGGCGAGCGCACCATGGAGAGCAAGTACGGCAGATGTGAATATCTGAATTTGAGATTGATTTATATGGAGACGCTCTTGAAGCATATACCCAAGAATTGGAACGAGAAATCCATATAGAAAAGTTTCTGTTCAGCATTAGTTTGTTCTTGAATATGACTAGAGGGGGTCAAATAGACAGACCAGCAAATAATGCGATTGCAATAGTTGACAGGGTGAACCATTTGGATGCGCGCCATTTATAACCTATGGGTAAAGACTTTTCGGAATAGTCGTTCATGGTGAGAAATCGATTTCAATTCAGAACAGCTGAATTGATGCCGTGTAGGAATCAACAGAGATCAATATTTTGATAAAACCCCAAATAAATGTACTAGATTTGTCTACTATCATTGTCGTGATATTACATGTGAACACGGCTCTTTAATTGATGGCGTTCTAGATGTCCCATTTCACAGATAATACCTCCGAGGAGGTTTCAAAAGAATCGTTATGGTTGAAACAAAGTTTGCGCAAAATCGAGATAAATTGATTTTCAGGCGAGTACATTATCATTTGGCTCACACGGGGATAAATCTTATGGCGAAGATCAAGTATTGAGTGACACAGCACTGACGATGTATGTACTCACCACTGCCTATTAATGTAAAGTTGACACTCGATTTGGATAGTCCCGCTGTTTCTAGCTACCACATTGGTGTACATACCATTACCTACCTGACTCACATAAATCTCTTTGTTGAAACCATCTCAGCTCAATACAAAGCTTGGTCTGGGAGTTTGTACGAGTCTCAAATAGTAATACATCATTTCCACGGGTGAAACTCCTTGAAGACGTATCTTGATCGATTGGAATAAGCAGAATGTCTTTCTAATTTGTAGAAATCATGTATCTTTTCCAGAACAAGTGACTTTCAATAATCAGAAAAAGGGCGTCATGTGACAGGATCCCCTTACTGATGGCTGGCTGTATTTGATCATCGAGCTGTGAGTCCGAAATGAAGTCTGACAATCAAAGCTGGTGGTGTGGAACCTCTCTCTCTCAAGTTTTGCCGTGAAACATTCTGTAAATTTTAATTCATGGGAAGAATTGATTCAGAAAATCTTGAGCATTAAAGATCATGAACCCATCCCGATTTGAAAATTATTCAGAGCAAGGGAAACTGTTCTTACCATGCCTTTCTCACACTTTTGAACTTTCAATGCATAGAGATTAAAAACACACCATGCAGCGACTTCAGCGTGCTATTCATACAGCAACAAGAGCAACAGCCGGCAATTTCACCAAAACCTTACCCATTAGTAAGACTTGTCTTTTCCTTTTGGTTGACTTTATGATCTCAGAATACTAACTGGTGTAAGCAGATCATGAAGTTTCTAGCCTCATCCATTTGATTCAAGTTCCCAAACCTAATTTAGCCTTTCAACCATCTCACTTGAGAGCCGTACACGATGGTCTGAAAACAGAAGGGGTACTACAATTGCAGTTAGGATTTGAAGATGAGAAAAGTTCTTACCTCCAGAATCTAATCCACAATCTCAGCAAGAGCCATAACCACGGTCTTCCAATAGCCCATAGTGCCGAGCGCGGATGGTTTTGGGATGTTCGGCCCTATCCCAGCAATGTCAAAATTCATGGGCACCGAGCTCGCTCAGAGACAATGTCTTGCTTTGATTGGCACACGGATTGCAGCTATGAGAATCATCCACCTCGATATTTTGCTCTTCAAGTACTTCAGCCAGATCGCTGCGGTGGTGGGACACTATCGCTACTGAGTGTCGATCGTCTCCTCACCTTGCTTTCACCTCAGGCACAAACGTGGCTTTCAAGCCCTAATTACAAGATCACTGTTCCTCCAGAATTCAACAAGAATCAGGATGAACAGTGCATTGTGGGAAATCTACTTAAGATGAGACCGGAAGGTGCCAGTGGAAATCAATTGCGATTCCGGGAAGATATCACCACTCCCTTAACTCCAGAGGCTGCCTTGGCTTTGAATGAGTTGAAAACAATTTTGTATGATCATGGAGCCCAGAAATGGACTATCAACTTGGGACCTGAGAGTCTTCCCCAGGGATCAATCATTATGATGGATAACCGACGATGGCTGCATTCACGAAATGAGGTCAAGGATCCTAACCGTCATCTTCGGCGAGTTCGGTGGGATGCAAGGCCGTTCTGATCTTTGAGCCAATAAAGGTTTCTTGGTGTGTTCTTAACGTGCTATATAATCCCAAATCAGAGTTGTTGAAGTCAATAATAGATTATTTGCTCACCGCTTGGAATTGATTCCTCTTTCTAAAGTGATAAATAAGCTTTAAGATCCATTATTCTCTTTGTTCCATGTGGTTGATCGCTTACGGAAGCTTTTGGTCATAAATAATATACAGATCCGAAAGATTTGTGCCCACGCCAGCAATTTGTAGCTGGATTCAGTTCTTGCTATGTAATTTGCGTATCGCGTGAGATAATGATTACAAATCAACATGGTAAGATTACATATCCTTTACTATGTAGCAATTAATTTTGATCAAAACTGTCAGTCTTTTCCTATTCGAATTTGGCCATTCAATGAGACTTTGTGTTTTGCGACATGTTTTACTTACGTTTGTTATAGCATCTTAGGACACAATACACCATTAATCTTTGAGACTTTGAGATCTTACAGTGTCGTACAATGATGCGCCGACCCGCTATCCCCAGCACGTTACGCATAAAACGATGTAGCTAGTAGCTACTCAAGATGAGGAGTCTGTATGATCTCATCTTATTACTTATTGCCACCATAGTCATGGAAGCAAGACGAGCGAGACACTAAATCAGACATGAAGAGTGGATCGCTGAACTATGTCAAGACTGGGAATGGAGATTCGTACACTATTCTACACGGCAGAGACTAGATCGAACGTCAATCTGTTCTTCAAATTATTTCAAACATCCACATTTAGATCACGAGATTTTGTTTAGTTTTGAAGAGGTGAGAATCAAGCTTGTAGTCGACAGGATTCGAAACGACTCGAAGAAGTGTTGAAATTCAATTATTGAACCAATAAAAACATCAAAGCGTACATAAGTACTAGACTACATCTCCAGGAATGACTGAGCATACCCAGGCTCCTCCATGACTAACAGCACAGATCTTGTCAGGACTACTACGCCATGCGCCAAGGCCGAGCAATCTCCCGTGTACGACAAAATATGTTCCGATGAGGGGGTATTGAACACGAACACCGGAAGAGTTCAGAACAAGGTCATAAAGTCTTGGAGTGATGCGGCGCTGTACTACACAGGTAACTCCTGAGATTATCTGAGTGCTCCGTTGAAGTTGTAAGGCGGAGATCCAGTCTTCAGCTGTGAATTCGTCACCAAATACAATTCCTGCTCCTTTGCCACTGCGAATGGGTTTCAAGATAAACTCTTTCCGTAAATCCGGAAACTGTTGTGCAAGACAAAAGAGTCTCTCCAGTTCTTTTGATCCAGGAAGGTATGTATCCGCAATTCCTTGATCAAGAATTTTTGCCTGTGCACCAGTAATCACGCACCGCGTGACCAGTGAATTCAACTCCTGCTTCAATATACCAAGCATTCGCTTGTCATGTGTCAAAAAGATTGAACGTAAGTCATTGAAACAACGGAGACTAATTTGCCGCAGCATCTCCGGCTCTAGGGCAAGTAGCTCTGATTGGTGTAGCTCAAGACCGACCTGGTAGATTTCCTCAACAACTTCGTTATCATTGGTCCGCCAGGCTAAAGGGGAGGTTTCCTCATTTCGTCCCACTAAACAGCAAAGTTTATATCCACTGCCATCATCAAAAGGGAGAAGCCTGAGCTGTGCTGGAGTGATGATTTTGGGTCTGAAGCCGAACCGCTGTTGAACAATATGAAGGAGCATATGGATATCCATGCCCGGTTCTTTGCCCTTAAGAAGGTGCAATGGAACTCCCGTCTGAAAAAGATTGATGATTCCGTCAAGGAGCTACTCAATGTTAGAAAGAAATTTAGTTGATATTTTGGACTGCCCCTTTGCATCTTTCGGGGGGAGATTTTACCTTTCTTGGATTTGCTGCACATCTTAATCCACTTCTCCCAGCCCCCGTCTCTTCCAGACCTTCATATGCAAGGATTGAATGAAGAAAAGCATTGAATGAGAAGCGTGCATTAATCTCAGTAATGCGATAGTTTTCTACTGTCATACCATTCGCATCAAGTGCGTCTTCAACAAGAAAGTCTGGTCGCCACGAGCCCCGACACTCGCGATACATCGGGATTTTATTGTTGATAATTTGAGCTTCGAGCCACTAATCGAAGAGCAATCAGCCATCAGAATAGTAGAGGGAACTGAAATCGTCATTGACTAGCAATGAAAAGCCTGAAGACTCACGCGTAAAAGCTGTTCTTCTCGTGGTTCGAGTGGCATACGATCAGAAAAGTGTGCGTCTTTGTCAATCCACCATCTCTCAACAATATCCGTTATTGCTAGAGTCAATGCCCCATGCAAGTCTTCTAGCTGTTTTTGGTGCTTTTTTGTGATTAAAATGGGCCGCGGACACCCTGTCTGGTAGGATTTTCCAGGCCAAAGATGAGCAGGACATCGTTGCAGTAAGCTGTCTTCGAACTTTTCTTGCTCTCGAATGTAAGTGCCCTCTTCGACTCGGTACTCTTGGACAGGTTGATAACACTCGGCTCTTGGCCTGATGTGTACCTGCTGAAACAATTGAGAGGTTGCCTTTTTCATTTCAAAAAGTGTACAATAAAATGATCAGGAAAAGGGAAAAGAATGAAGTATATTATAGGGCCGTATGATCTCAATCAGACGACAGCTATTTCCAGGGTTGAAAAGACTAATAATCCAAAACGGCGAGCAAAATAGATATTATCAAGAGAACGGTGGAAGATAATACAGCTCTGGAAGAGGAGTAATTCTAGGTCAGTGTTTTGTTACATTTTGAATGAACCATTAATATCCACACGAAGTACAAATTACATTCAAACACCCAGCTACAAAGATACCTTCAGCTTGAGGCACTTCTTTCACGAGGATAGATGCTTGTTCAGAGTGAATATACCCGAGACAGTGTTTGAAGAGGTGCGCACAAGAACATCATCACTTGTTAAAACTTTCAGTCAGATATGTCATTGAGTTTTCGCGTTGCAGGAAATGCCGTCGAGTTTGCAAATATCAACACTTGTAAACTATTTCCTGAGATTAGGTGGGTGGTATGGTGATGTACCATACTCACGTGAGGCAAAGATTCACGGCCAAAGATGTCGCTTGTAGCATCTCCCGCCTGATGAAACAGCAAGTGCCTAAGCAGAACTGATGGAGTTCTAAGGTGGAGCTGGTCAACAGAGCAAGTGTAACGAATAAAACTTGTCCGAGAATTGTTGTCCTCCTCTCACCACCCCCATGTTTGAAAGGCCAAACTGAATGTGGATTTTCGTTGAATTGTCCCTATATTTTGGAGCATACTATCACTCCCATACCGCCATCTAGTTTACGTTATGACAATCGATGCTTGGGTCCTCCACCAAGCAACATGGCTCGCACAACACATAAACTGAAAATACGATAACATTGCCAATGCACAATGGACCAGGAACCCAGAACACCCAATGAACATTAGTGTACCCCAACCTAAAGTAGCCCCTACAGCAACGAGAAGGAAGAACGTAAAGGTCGCAGTAGGAACAACCAGACAAAGGCAACGATAGCACATCCTAGATACAAGGAAAGGGAAGTCAATCCATGATACTGAATACGGATTGACTGTCAATGGATGTTGTTCATTGGATTATAATTGGCATTGAATGGTATATGGAAAGGAGTAAATGGTGTGGGAGAAGAGATGGATGGCATAGCTGCTATTAGACAAGAAAAGAAGTGACTGCCAATGGCGGTATTGCTGTTGAAATATTCGTCATGTGCGAATGTCGACGTTGATGCCTAAGGTTAAAAGTTGGAAAGCGAGAAAGCTTTCGAAAGTCCCGTCCGTCCACCCCGCCGAGCCCGCCTAAAGAAAGACCCCTGCCTACCTTGTAATAGCTAGCACTCCTCCTACATATCTACGATTCGCAAACCAAAATCTCCCAGAATAGCTTTCACGACATTACAATCGCGAATATGCAGCGCCGTATGGTAGTATACCCCGTTCAATGTATTGTTCCGGGTAGCACATCTTCTAACTTCACATTTAGCTATCAAAAGAAGACGAGGCAGCAGTCGGCGCAGACGAGGTCGAAGTACGAAGAGAAGATCAGGACAAAATTAATCGATTCAGTCGTTTGCATCAACGAGAAATCGGTTTGGAGGACGAGTTAAAGTTAAAACATGTCAGTACAGTCGAGTCGAGTGCTGCGCGACCAAAACAATTCTACTGTCAATCTGCAACGAATACGTTTCTAATCCTCTTGTTATACAGAAAGAAAAGGAGGACCTCGACGATGTTTCGGGGGAACTTGAGTTGGCAGACGAAGATGACATGATACCGTACGACCTACCATCGCCTTCCTTCACTGTATAATTGTCATCCGTCGAATCATACTAACTTGATTGTTGAAGTTACAAAATCGGAGATTCATTCATATCCTTACCACTACCAGAGGTACAAGAATTACTTACGAAATCGACCGAGAACATCGAGGAGGAAGTGATATTGGTGGAAGAAAAGCTTAGTACAATTAGGGAGGAGATGACACAACTGAAGGTGGAATTGTATGCCAGATTTGGTCGAAGTATTAATCTGGAAACGTAGAATATCGAAATAATTTCATAGGAACACCCAAAGGACCCATCAAAGCTCCATATCATATTCCTCGCGGTGACCCAATCACAACAAATGGCTCGGGAGAGTTGAACGGCATATGTCATGCCATATGCACTCCTCTTGAGTACATCGTACAGTCCATCATCCGACAACATCTACCGACAGGAACCAACTTCCACATTTTTTATTCTCTCAGGGCCACCTTTATCCATCAAATGAACCTGGTTAATCGGTCAATTTAAATTAAATGACATATTTTGAGGTTGGTTTCATCTCCTAAGGCAGGCATCGAATACATACTTATTCGGTCTTCGTCCCGAATTTTGGAAGCATATGACTTGGGGCATTTACACCACACACACCAACTTGACGAATTCCCTTGGAGATCTGCCGCTTGCTTATTACCGATGAGATTGCTGAAAAAGTAGCCATCCTTACGGTTGAGTCGGCACCATCGTTCCTTGCAACCAATAAATCGGACTTGATGGCATGCAGTGGACCCGCACCGAAGTTCGACAGTGGAGAGAGCTTCACACTACGATGTAGAATTTACCATTTACAAACTAGCAATGATCCTTCGTTTTTCAAAAGGACCATGTAATTATGGGCATACAGAAATTTCCTTGCCCAATGAAGTCTTGTCTCCAGGTAAGTATATCACAGGCTAAGTTTATTTCTTTTACTGCGTATATTCATTTCACTACAATTCTTTTTCATTGTAATCCTATATCCCTTTTGCCCCAGCTCTATACAAAATCCGAATCTATTTATGGGTTTCAATTTCATCCAGATTACCTATGACATCACAGGGAGGAGTGAGGAAGAGTCAATTGTTTGTAAGGGTAGCCGAGCAAACAAACATGCCCAGCGCAGATCATGGACATGCAATCGCCTCACCGGGAGTCGGCGACAACGTGATAGATGAGCGTAACTTAGAAGCAGGCTCTACATCAATTGGTACGTGCAGTATGCCATGGGTAGAGCTGCAAATATACTAATGGGAATATAGAAAGGCATCAAAGTAGACTTTCTCGAATGGTCAGGAATTGATCACGACGATGCGAAAAGACGATATGATCTTGAGGCGAGAGACAATCATGTATCTCTTCCGGATTCGTCTGCATCCAGCGTCTTGGGCACACGGAAAAACGTAATACATTGGGAGGAGGACGATCCAGAAAATCCATATAATTGGTCTTCCGTACGTCATACCTCTTCCCCTGGGAAATTTTTAGATGGGTATTCATTTGCTCGTAACGAAGGATAGGTCTAATTTAGAATCATAGGGGTGGAAATGTTACATTGTTCTCGTTGGAATGCTTGTGGTGATCAACAGCACCATGGGTTCTTCTCTACCTTCGAACGCGATTCCATTCATCGCTCCGGATTTCCACATAACATCAGAATCTGCGGAAATTTTACCAATGTCGATGTATCTCCTTGGATATGTGCTTGGACCTTTAGTATTTTGTCCACTATCAGAACAATTCGGACGAAGGACAATCATGCTGGCAACCTTTTTCTGCTATACCGCCTTTACATTAGGTTGTGCCTTGACACCAACGTGGGGTGGACTCTTAGCATTTCGAATTCTGGCAGGTGTTAACGCGAGTAGTCCTATATCCGTCAGTGGAGGTATCTATGCAGATATATACAAGGATCCAGTAACAAGAGGGAGAGCCATGGCGGTTTTCACTGCAGGCACTTGCGTAGGTCCTCTAGTGGCTCCAATAATTTCGGGCTTTATATCTCCTGTTCTTGGCTGGCGTTGGACTTTCTGGATTGGCTTAATCTTTGCTGGTGCATCTTGGGTCCCTCTTGTATTTCTTCCAGAAACCTACGGTCCAGTTCTACTTCTCAAACGCGCAAAACAGTTGCGAAAAGAAACAGGCGATTCCGAAATAATCGCGCCGATCGAATTGGAAAAGCAAGACCTAAAACAAATGGTGACTGTGACACTCACTCGACCTATCCGCATGCTTTTCTTCGAGCTCATCGTCTTGGCCGCTTGCACCTACCTCGCCCTCGCCTATGGGATATTCTATATGTACTTTGAAGCTTATCCGATTATATTCGAAGGAATATATGGTCAATCGTCTGGCGTTTCTGGGCTTATGTTCCTGCCCATTGGTGGTGGTGCGTATTCCTCTGGTGGGATACGTTTTTGCGCAAATCTCAAGCATCCAAGAAAGCCTGGGCGCAGAAAGAAGAATCTCGGCGGCTGCCACTTGCCATTTTGGGGGGACCACTCTACGTTATTTCGCTTTTCTGGTTAGGCTGGACATCCCGTGCCTCTATTCCTTTTTATGTTCCCATGTTGGCCGGCATACCATTTGGAATGGGTTTTATATTAATCTTCATTGCTCTGCTCAACTACTTGACGGATGCTTATGAGGTCTTCGCCGCGAGCGCCATGGCTGCATCGAGCTGTTGTAGAAGCTTAGCTGGGGCGGTGTTGCCGTTTGCAGCGAAGCCCATGTATACAAAACTGGGTGTGCCATGGGCAAGTAGCCTGCTTGCATTCCTGAGCCTATTAATGTGCGGTATTCCGGTATTATTTACATGGAAGGGCGATCGTATTAGGGAAGGGAGCGTATTCTGTCAGGAGCTTAAAGAACGAAAAATGAAAGAGTTGGAGAACTTGCAAAGAGACAGATTGGTGAAAGAGCATCGCCAAAATGCGGAGGTCACGGAGAAACTTTAAGAGTAAAAAAGCTGATATCCTTTCTGGGGAGTTTTTTCTATGGGAAATGGCTTAATGGACGATCATAATGAGTACATATGACAGCTAATTTGAACTTGAATGTGAAAAAACAAATGTTTAGCGTACGGCATTACCACGCTATGGTTTGATTTCTTTCTGGACACCATCATTGGGCGCTTTTTCAATGACTTGTTCATTTCTTTTATTTTCAATGTTATTAGTCACTTCACAGATAATTTTTTCAGTAAGTTGGTAGATCCAACCGTCCCTGTTCTCCATCCTCACTTCTGCCATATCAAGAACACGTTTCACGAATAGTATACCTCCGGCTGAGTGGACCATCTATTGATCTACGATACTACCAATTGTTGATACCGTGGAATATCTTCGCGATTGAAAGCACGCACAAACCACTCGAAACAAATCTTGTGTACTACGCTCGAGCTCAAGAACCTTGACATAATATCTGATCAACGATTCAGAGTTGGACTTTTCTGCTGCGGGATGGAACACGTTATTTGCCGATGATTCCCGCTCGGCTCATATCCCCAACTACATGCGGCGCAATTCTACTCACATTTTCGGTCTTTTCTACATGTCTCTTGGAGCGTCTCCAGGATCGAATTTTTGGTTCAAGATGCGCAAGCCAGGAAATACAACAATACTAAAGTTGACCAGAATAATTTTTTAAATGATACTTCAGCTACGCATGGCACAGCTCTTTCATAAAAGTAGAATCTTACCTCTCTTTCATCTTAATCCGTTGTGTGGCTTGGTACATTCCAATGGGGTGTTGTTATTGACCCACTAGCCTCAATGCTCATTCAAAAGACACTCGACATTCACTTCTCGATCTTTCTCAATCTAAAGCATCATGGCGAGCAAACTTCGTGATCAATGGGTATGTGTCGCCCCTTTCGATGCGGATCCGGACATCGCAGGTCCTGGGGTAAGTAGATCAATGCATTTCCATGAAATTTTTCCTTCCTAACGAATTTTAAAGGTTATGACAAGTTTTCTGGTTACCGCGTGGGTCACATGTTTTGTGGCATGTATCCAATTATATTGTGTCGTGTCATCTCGATTCCGTCTCAAACTTCTTTCTTCTGTGTCAGGAACCACAGCTGAGCATATTGGCAAATACACAGTCAAGCTAACGAATATTTCCATCCCATCATCTATCGAACGAAAGATCCCAAGACTCATAATTAAAGGCGTTCATCTCGGCCACTATGTCATCCGATGTTCGTTAGCTATGTTTCTAAGTCTCTTCCGCAATTCCCAACCGCGACTACAATTATTTTCTCAAATGGCTTTGGATCGGTTGTGTGATCTTCAGCTTGTTACAGGAACTGCCATAATCATCGCAGGTATAGCTGAATTTCATCACATGTCTTTCTATCACCAATCTCTCATTACAAGCTATTGGCTGCTCACACTAAATTCGTTTTGGGCTGCTAGAGCTGGATACCTCAACTCGGAACACTATGGTCATGACAGGAGCTTTTATTTCTGGACGCGTTGGGTCTTCATACTTATTAGTGATCTTCTCTCAATTTACTACCAGATCGTTACCACACTGGAGGCCGAAAACCACTGGGACTCTGAAGAAAGTGGTCAATGTTATCTTTCCCACGAACCATCACCAACCAATGCCCAATATTTCTGGATTGTGGGAATCTCCTTTGAAGTTGTTTATATGTTATTGTATTCCATGCAACAACTTGTACAGTCCTTATCTCACAAACGGCGATGGTTGAAAGGCTCAGTGAACTTCATCGCAGAAACCTTGAACGATGTATTCAATGGAAGTCAGCAACGCGCTTTAGATTTTTGGTCGGCGGTGAAATCGAGCACCTGTCGCTGGCCAATTTTCTTGCGTATTTTATTACAACTTGTAGAAACCGTAAGCTACATGGTCTGGCATGTACTTTGGCGGATTTTGGCACTGTGGGCTTGGGGAGACAACGGGTCGGTACTAATAGTTATTGGATATATTGGACTAGCAGCATGGAATACTTTCGACGTTATCGACACAAAATTGTCTAATCGAAGTTTGATAATAGGAGATGAGGACACTTGGGGGTTTGGGCAAATTCTGCCACTTGGTTTGCTCGCTCTCATATGTTTAGATTTGCTTGACATCCTCAATAGTGAGTAGTCTCTGTTCTCTCCAATTATTTTTGTCGAGGATTTGACCAGTGGTAGAAGCGTATAAGCATCAAATTACAACTATGGTACCGGATCTGCAGACTCAGAAAGGAGAATTGTCTCTTATTGGCACAAGAAACGAATATTCGACTTGAGTTCATTTCCAGAAGCTCAAAAGTACTCCCTTTGATCACATCTTCTGTTTATAAACTCCGACACGACATTTAGCATCCGGGAAGCTTTTCCATAAGTTAATAGTTGCCCTAAAATGTCCAATGTTGCACATAGATAAGCATAGGGAGTCCTGGAGTGATTTTCCTTTGCAATTCTTGTCTAAACATTTCTTCCCAACTTCAGATTTGTAGATCCTTGTGACCTGAGCTATTGATTATTCATTCCAGATTCAAAAGTATCGATTTGGAATTACATCAACCCTATATGATAAACGGAAGTAGGAACCCACACATACTGTGTGGCCTGTGTTGATTGGCAGTATAACGACAATAGTATGCTAGTACGTGTAAAAATCACAGGCTAGCCAAAGCAGCTCATTGAAATCAATGCTCATCTATGATACCCCATCGCATCTGAGACCAATTGGACTGCATAAAATGTTCAACAGAGAGGGAATTTAATTCCGCCGAATGTTTTCAATTGCTTTCAAGAAAACCCTCTCCACAAAAGTGCTTCATAATCATCTAGAATGCGTAGTCAGTAGTAGGAAGTGCTTTTTAAAGTCATTTGGAACGATGAAGTACTATCTGAGGTTCAACCCAGAGTCGTCCACGATATCGTCTGTTGATTTAATACACTACTTTATTGGATAAAATAGGTTTAATGCTCCGAAGAATTCAAGAACCAAGGCGGGACGGGGTACGAAGGCCCAATTCTGATACTGATTCTAGTCTTTGGATGACTGGTGTCGAAATCTCCTGGGCACAGCGAAAAAGCGAGACCGAAAATTCGACAGAGAGAAGAGAAGAGACAGGAAATCTGAATGGTTTTGGAAATCAAAGATAGGTAGCTTGCTGAGCTGAGCAGGGAAGATATCGTGAATTTTATTTATAATGGGATAATTGTTATCAGGTAAGGAGATGGCTTGTGAATGGAATGGTGCAATTTTGATCCGGAAGTTTTGAGTGGCTTACTTTTGGTTTGATCAATCACAAATGTGCCATTAAGACTTAGAAGGTCAACGATTCAACATTGTTAAGAGCATTGGGCTTTACTGAAAGAGTGGTGTTGCTCACCCATTTCGCGAATACAGTTTCCTCATCTTTCACGTAAGACTGAGTCGAAAAGTGTGCTCACGTCAGCAATAATAGGGATTAGTTCAGCTACTTCTGATCAATCCAGAAACTAAGATACGTACACAAACTTTTTGGGTGCTGAGCGGTAAAATGGAAACGAAGACAAGTAATGGACGAAAAAACCCTGTGTGCGCACTGACGATTTCAAAATTGGATACAATACAAAACCTTCGAATCTCAAATACAGAAACCAATACTTCAAACCGCATTAACAATAGCCGGGAACAACTCATTCAGATCTCTCTTCGGCTCAAATGGTTTACCACCTAAGCTTCCCCCTATATTACCTGCCTTAACTGAGGAAAGTTTGTGCCACTCCCAATCTCTCGCATTCATATCATTTTCAGAGTTCTGTCCTCCTTCGACTGGTGGTATGAGGGAAGAAGGATACTCGGGAGGTGCTAGTCGTTTCATGAGGGAATTACCAGCAGGGCGGGCAAAATAACCAACTACATAGCGGGTCATAGAAGACTGATCGCCGGGGGGAGAGGTTACACGATGCATAGCTGAGCGAAGGATCCCACCAGTCCATTCAACCATTGCGTCGCCAAGGTTGACTATACATGTGGATGGCCGAGGTTTAATATAAGTCCAAGAAGACTCGAGATGAGGATCTGAATGATGAAATTTAATTATGGCGAAACTTTGAAATTTTGAATTGGAGTTACGTACCCGCGTCATCTTTGAGAATTTGGAGACCTCCAGTTGCACTAAAAAGAAGGGTTAGTGCAGTGATATCGGTATGCCCCATCATGGCAGTACGGCGATCATCGGCTGGCTATCAATAATTAGCATAGTTTCGAGATGCGATTCCACGATGACACGCTTGGAATGATGGGAGATGCAGGAGATTTCGAGCTCACCTGAGGCTCATACTTCAGCATTCGCAAAACACTGCCGCTTGGCTCCGTCATCGGTTGCAACTGTGCGAAAGTACCCAGTGGAAGCTTCAGATGCTTTTCCAAATGCCCGAGAATGATATTTACAATTTCGTTGGCCTGTTCAATATATGTCTTCAATTGCGGTCGACAACGCTCGATACAGGCCGGGTTAGCAAGGGGTTCGGAAGCCCCAGTTATGTCATCGCGACTGATTCCGTAGAGCTCGACTCGATCTCCGACTTTGCCAATCTTGTGATAGCCTAAGGGCTTGTAGCTAAACATGATAAGAGACCAAATTAGTCGAGACTTCTGTAGTCCTGAAAGACCGTGTAAATTTGGAATAAGAAATGATGAATTATGAAGGCAGAGGTACCGGAAGAGAGAAATTGGGGGATTGTAGGAGTATTCATTAAGCTCCAGTTTAGGGAGTGCATATAATTCTGCATTCAAGTCGAACATTTTTTGGGTATTCTTGAGAAATTGATCACCAAACAAACACCCAGTAAAATCAAGCTGGAAGCTACGGTATTGATAATTAGCAATTTGCCGCGAATAACTCTTTTTAGAAAAAGCACAAATGTTGTCGGAGAAGAGTCAATGAAAGATAAATAAATAGACAACATCATCAATGCGTGCAATGAACTTGAGTGAAATCAAACAATGTAATTTGCATTTCTTATTAAATAATATAGTGCATTCAATTGCAAAGATTTTGCGTGGGGACAGATCGAAAGATATTCAAAGGATTGGAGAGAATGATTTGCCGTTACTCACAAACCTATATGACGACAGGCTTCGAAAAGAGCGCAGGACTCGTGTCCGTCGTTGACTGCAAGTTTAGCGAAGGAGAAAATGGGCATATCTGCCACTGGGATATTGGAGGGAAAAGGGGGGTATTTGGCAAAGTAGGTAGGAGTAGGCATTTCGAAGCAACTAACATGAGATGATGTGAATTCAAGCAGCGAAGCGAGGAGTAGGGGTTTAAATATTAGATATATATACCAATAGCATCCTTTCAATATTCTTTTCCTTGGCAAGCTCTTTAAGAACGGGAAGTTATATTTGCGAGATATATAACTCAGTTCCTATAGCCTCGAATTTTTTTGTGCTTTTCCTCAAGTAATAAAGAAAATATTCTTCCCTTTCATCTATGCTTCAAGGAAGGAAATAAAAAACTCTTATATTGAATCCCAATGAAATAGTGATTACACAGGTGTATCGCTGTTGCAACAAGCTTACAATCAGTTTTTGGCGAAGTTAACCATTGGTGGCTGTCATGCTTGAGTCACAGCTTCTGATCAAAATGTTACTTTATGAGGAGTTCCTTTGACAGAGATATCATTCCCACCATGAACCTGCCAAGTCTATTTCGCGTGGAAGCGTTTTTCTCTGGGATAGATCTTTCTCGAGTCTCTTTCATGATCAGGGGTGTTCGATAGCTTCTTGGTAATCCAACAATGAAAGAGTCTGGAATATTCATTCTCTTTTCAGGTAAAAAAAAGACAAGGCTGCTGGATTAATTTGAACTGAAAATTTGAAGCCGATAGTACCGTTGTCAGAATCTTGGACAAGAAATCTTACATCAGACTGTAATCCATGACTTGGAAAACATTGCTAACGGTAAATGTTGGGCATAACAAAGCTAGACACATTGTTCAAAAATATGGCTGAACTCGACAATACGATGAAATTTCAGGTACGATCGTTCCTAAGTTCTAAGTTTATTCTACTGCTGGGTTGAATTTGATCGATCATCATTCTTCTGTAATTCGCTAATCTCTTTGATGGCCACGCGCCTTCACTTAATCTTACTGGCTAGCTTTTGCCGTTCCCTATCGGGATTGTCAAAGACGAAATTGGTACAACGCTTGCTTTTTCAATCTACACGAACGAGCATGAAATGACGTTTAGTCAGTCGCACCAAACCCAAGATGGCTGTCCGCCGTGAAAGCAGCAAGAACAAAGCTACAAATCCATCCAAGTCGCAGAATGTACGCACTTGTGCAAATGTTCTTCCATATCTATTAACATCATTGCATAACTAATGTAAAAAATCGTAGATATAGATGTAAGAAATTAATCAAAGAATCTTCATGGGTTTGTTGTTGTCAAAAGAAAACAAAGTCATTTCTGGGAAACTCACATGCCAAGGTGCAGTAGAATTGTGATGGCTGCCGTGGCTTGGAAGTTCTGCATCCTTGGGGGACTTGCCGCTCTGATCACTGCTAGCAAATGACGGCAAGTGTTAGAAAATATCATTGCCCGACCCGAGACAAATCCCGAGAGAATATTGAATATGGTCAGAAGACGGTGATAAATTTCCTTGCGCTCCTGACGTTTCTTACTGTTGAACCAATCATGCAGATCTGGCGGTTTAACAATGATTGCTAGGTTCCAATGGAATGCATCTTGAATAGTGCACCTATTGAGTGGTATAGATAAAAGTTCGAGATACTTGGATATGTGTGGGACAGACGGGACAAACCTTCAGTCGAATGAAAGCATGAGGAAGCCAGAACAGTAGAATTTTGATCGATGTGGTCTAGTTAACAGTTTTTCTCCATCAAATCAAAAGTAATACGACAAAATGTTACTTTCAAAATTTAACAATCATGAGGAACTCCAAAAAGAGATACGGAATTGCCTTTGAAAAGATACGGTGCAGTTTCGCAGGTGGCACTTGCCTCTGAGCTACATGGAAACCCTTTGCCTTTGGAGAAGTGTTCATCTTATTTTTGGGCAGGACTGAGAATATAAGGAAAGGAGCTGTACTCTTCTTATCATGAAGCTACGTATTCAATATTGTTATACAAGCCCAGGGTATCTTAATGACTCCTAACAACTCCCAATGCGACTACCGCCAATCGTAATATAGTATTAACCAAGTGATCACAGTATAATCAACGTAGTTCTGGCTCGGACATGAACCCAGGCTCACTCAAACCACTCAGGTCCGGCATCTTGTGTCCACCCATTTTTGCCTGCGTAAAATCCTTCCAGAATTGATCATCATTACCTACATCTCCGCGCTTCAAATCATCATCAGGCCCTCCAAATTCTTTCGGATCGATCGAAGAACACGTATCATCCTCCTCATCATCGAGATATGATGGCGGAGGAGATTCATGACGTTCGTCGTGAGAATATATCTTCAGTCCACGAACATGTGTATCCTTGCCATTCTGGTGATTCTCCAACACCTTGACTTGTATAATAAATGCGCGTAGTGTTTTTCCATCTGAGCCTCCTCCTACGTGATCAAGGTTGACATCAATCCAACCTTTCGGTTGAACAAACGATAGTTCAGAAAACGGAATTAGATCGTGGTAGCCTGTGCCTCCAAGCAACTGGATACGTGTTGGAGTATAAGATTCATCGGCTTCGAAATCAAGGAATATTCGAATGGCTCGAATCTTTGCAAATTTGGCAAAATGAATGTTAAGGTAATGAGGCTGGGGTCCATCGGATCTGCAGGTGAGATATGTCAGTGAATGTGCAAGTCTATTACCGAGTAGAGATGAGAATGAGGGACGAGAAGTAGAGACGAGAAAGTATATAATTCCTTACTGCCAGAACAAATTTGTGTCATCGTCCCGGAGTGCAAGAACTCCACAACCAGGTTTACTACTAGAAACAGTCCAGCTAGCCAAGTTTCCGATTTCTTTCAGCCCGAGAGCGGCAGGGTCGAATAATGGTGTATTATCCATGGTAGCTAGATGAGATGAAAAGTTAGATCGATTATACATAATGGGTGGTGAGGTTGTGCATTGATATTGGGAACGGGAATCAGAATACAATCGAAGTGCTATGCTGTAAGATGTACTGATGCAGGTTGACCGGTTGGAGAGTGCGGAGTGAGAGTAGACATCTTCAAGTGCAAGGGGTTCTGGTTTCGATTGCGTTTACTCTTTCCTCTCATTGTGTTGGTGATGTGTGCGGAAGGAAGGGGGAAGCGGGAAAAATAAAATTATCAAAACGAACCTTCAACTGCAACATCGTCCAAACCTATATCCTCGTCCAGGTTTTCTAAATCTTCAATGACAGGATCACCTTCGGATTCGTCTTCTCCTTCTTCTTCTCCTTCTCCTTCACTTAAATCTTCTGTGCCTGTGGTTGAATCGAAATCATCCTGTGTATCTCCAGCTAATGATAACATACTCTGAATGGGGGTAACATTATTTTGATCAAACGGATTGGTTGTACGTCTTCTCCTAGTATTGTTATCAATTCCAAAGTGCTCTTGATAATTGACAGTAGGGGTATGTGATGGAGGCATTATTAACAAATTGGCAAGGTTGTCATCGATGTTGAATTACGAAGACATTGATTCAAAGCGAGGCTCTCTCGAGGCTCTCAAGCTAGCAAACAAGGGGACAATTGCACACATATTTTGCATGATTTATCTCTACACCGCTTACTACTTATGGACACCGCCCTCGTTCCTGTCAAGCCACACGAATGTTTATCACCTAGGAGGCGGGGTCCACTAGTAGTTTGAATGTATCACGTGTCGTTTTCCATTTTCTCCTCCATGGATCCTTCTGATCATCTCGCATTGCCACAAATCTCTATTCATCCCAAGAATTGTTAGCTTGTCCACTGCTCCCCAACCGAACCGAACCGACGATTCCGACATAAGGTTAACCGAGTTCAGGAACGCATGTTGAATGGGTTTCACGGTTTAGTTTGTGCGTTGGGATTAGGTTCGGAATGTTGAATACTAGCATAAAACGTCTAGTCAATCCTCATGCATCTGAAATATGTGATGACTTTTCAATGGACACCTCTTCCGTTACTTCAGATGTCAAATACCCATATCTACCGATAGTCCTCTCGTCCCATCTCATACCAAAAATAACGTCTTACTCCAGAGAACACGAACTAGTGTTACAACAGAGCCACTTATAGTATGCTATTATACCTCCCAAGCTTATTGCACGGCTTGAGAATCATAATAACCTGTGTGCACCCGGAGATACATAATCTCCATTCAAGTGCCGGAGCCAAAAGTTTAGTCCAGATTGTTTGTTGCCTCCGTCCACCGGGTTCCAGATTGCAACACTCAAACGATCCTTCACTGCCTCGACGTTACTCATATCGATCTAGCCAAGTTTGATAGATCAAAGAGGCAGTGATCATAGTATCCGAACAAACCCCGACAATTTATTCATTTTGTCAAATGGTCATTGGATGGAGAAGTGGAAATATGGCAAGTAAAGTTTCGACTGCCGCGAAATCGGGGACCTGGAATCTTTTCAAAATGACGTTGACTTGTATTGAAAGATGCGGTACTCGAGTAAATATTTATACCCAGGTAAAGTACTCGTTCGTGTGGTTCACAAAAATCAGATGGCAATTTTCTCCTCTTCACGTTAATAACTTCCCCTCATTTCCATATCCACAAAACCCCACACCATTGTGAGGACTTCCCAACCTTAACATACGAAGAGCTATTCTTTCCAATCTCGGAATATTGAACTGTTAATCAATTGGTAATGCCTACTATTTTACCTGGCCTCAAAAAGTAAGTACATGAATGTTCTTTTATCGTAGCCCATCTAGAAGAGTTTTTTTTTCATTCAGTCAATGATTCCACGTATGGGAATAGCATACTAATCTAACTCTCAGACTCAAAGAACGTCGAGCTCACGCCAAAGAGCTTCGAGGTCAATCGAATGAGTTGCACAGATGCTATCAAGATATGAAAGCCGTGGACGATCGATATAACAAACCCCAGACGTATCATGTGGACCAATTTACACATACGAATGGAGATGCAGATAAATTGCAAGACCTGCGTGCTACGATACCACGGGAAATAGAAATAAGGCCTTCAAGCGACTCATCGGCACGCCCATGAAGAAAACGGAATCGCAATATAGTCGTGATGGTCTCGTGTGCTTCAAATAAGACTCATTTCTCATAGAATCACCGAATCAATTTCAAGAGAAAGGAATATCTCTGGACTGGGGGCCACGGATCGTTAGACGAAGTAGGAGAATCCCAGTTCCCTCGTTTGTGAAGTGGTCGAGTCGAATTTGAAATATTTATGGTTTCGTCAAGGTGATACGATGGGCATTTATACAGCATTGTCACTCCCTTGGTGTTGGATTTGGAGTTTACGGTTATCCTTGCAGCAATTGGTGGCCGGAGCAGGAGGAATTTTGACAAAGTGCAGTTCATAACTTTCTCTGTGTGTAGGACAACTTGTATATTATATCGTTATCGAAAAATCATCTTTCAAACCCAAGTAAGCTGCCAGCAGCCTATGTTTATGCCTCTTCTCCTTTCCTCTCCCAATGCTATCCGACGAGTACTCGAGATTTCCTCAAGCCATTGGTATCATACAAAGCCTCCAATCCGAAATAAAACGCCATATAATGCATTTCGATCGTCAAATGTAAAACAGACCCTTTTATCTGTGTAATATATGTCGATAACAATCCAGCCGATTTTCTCCCAGAAGAATTCTAGCACTTCAAACTGCACACATCCAGAGGTGGTTGTCGCCCATTAATCCCTTCATCTTGGCGGTTGTGTCCGCCATCCCCAACGCCACGTCGTCTTGTGCTTGCTGTTGTCTTGTCTTTTCCATGTCTTTATTCTTAATCTCGATCAACAACTCGCTCTGATATTGCCATCTAAGAACGTTCCATTGGGCTGGTACATTCTTGGGTATCTTGTTCTCTTTCAAAATCGCAGGTTTACTGTAAAATTTGCCTGGTCAGTTTAACTATTTCTTTAACATTCACAGTCTTCTCTTGCTCGCTACTCTCTCCATCTCTAGCTCAATTCATATTCGAGTATAAGGAACCAGAGGGACATTGGGGAGTATGATACTCACTTCAATTCTTCCTCATTAGCCCAGCGATTTGTGAACCTCCCAAGAGAGAACCTGGCAAACTTCGCGATATGCGGAGTGAAAGCATGTACAACCATGGCTTCATCTGTTTCTTGACGTCTTAATGGATATGGTTGGTTGCGAGAGGGGTTTGGTTGATTTGTCGATGACGAGATGGACAGAGTAGACCAAGAAAAGCAAGACAGCGCAGCGCGCTCCGGATGAGTAAGTTACTCTGCCAACGATTAAGTATGCAGACAAAACTATGGAATTGAAAGATACAAAGGAAAGAAACGAAAGGAATGGAAGTGTAGGGACAAAGGATGCATAAATACTACCTCCACAGGTCACTACCGGCCATCTACTCCACAGAAGCTATCTGCCCTACCGAGATTCATCTTAAACCGCTCAATTTCACCAACGAAGCAGTTATGCAGTTATGCAGGGGAGAAAGGAGGACGATTCACAATTTCAACCACGCTCCAACAAGCCTAAAACAAAGTGGAGAAAAAGGGCTGACACTAGTCGCATCACATTCGGTAGGTCCAACCTAGAATACCAACAATTGTTCTTTGGCTCCACTCTACCTCTGGGCGGTATTTTTGGGGCGGTTCTCAACGGGATTGGACCCGAAAAGATGTGATCCATAATTCGACCGAAGCCGCAACTCGCTCCACGCTGATAGTCAAACACGACAAAGTCATGCTTTTTCAACCATCCTGTTCTTTTCTGATTCGTGGCAGAGGTCTGGACCACCGTGATCTTCAATTCGTAAATTCGCTTCTTGTCGGCTTAGAACAATTTAGGTCACCGACCAACGAGCAAGATAACAGTGCAAGGTGGCTAAGTAATACTGTGAAGATTGCCGTGCTCATATATGCATGCAAAACCCCTCTTGATAGATAAGTGATTTACCACATGCTTTTACATACTAAGGTATGTTGTCTCCAGCAAGACGTTTTCTTACCACATCGAGAAAATCTGAGTGATGTCGAAAAGTTGTGCTGGCGTTTCAAATCCTTACCAAGAAACATTCCTACTGGTTTGCATGCAGAAACGTGGCTGGCTAGGTTCGTGATGTACAGAGTACTGAGTATGTGACTTGATCAAATGGAAGGAGGCCGCCAACATTGACATATTTGAGCATTGGAATCTTGATTCGACATTGACATGCTCAATTCTGTCAACCAAAAACTTTTCTGATTGGAGGATTGATGATACCGTGATGAAGGACGTGTTATCGTTGGCATAGGACGCTATTTTCTCTCGATTCTTCAATCTCCGTTGAAGTTATCTTTCAGGGACAACATGTCCAGAAATCTTCAATCAAAAAAAGAAAAGCAAAATGCTTTTATCTTTTGCCCTGGGTATGGGCCCTACGGTAAAAGTGTGTATATTGAAATTGTTGCTCTGTCCCAGTAACATAGGTAGCTTGATAGTGAAAACTGTCCCGTTTGAAGTGTTCGGTGGTGGGATCGAAGATGGCACTGTTGACTATGAGGTAGTATATGGGAACATTGATTGACCTACGATAGTCTGCAAAAGTCCCGAAATCTGGTAGGCCTACCATATTTGCCAGACTGATCTTACCGGAGCAAACAGGTGGAATTTGGTTATGAACCTACGATACCGCTTCATCAATATTTGACACTTCGCTGGCTTTCCGAAGACTGCTGCCATGGAGGCAGAATAATTGTGAAAGAAACATATCTTCAGTCAATATTTTGAGCGATTCGCAGCCAATACGAAGGAGTGTATTAATTAGTTCTATCTGATCTCAAAGTGACCATAGACTTTGAAGGTCGAGACGGTGGAGAGGGGTATCAGGTGAGTGAAATGAAGCATGAATATAATCAAAATTACAGAAATCAATGAACACGAGTTGAGTTGAAAGCGACCTCGAAACCAAATCTTGCCGCAAACATCATGTGATTTGTTTGAGAAAACAAGAGCTTAGGTAATCACCGTCATCTTCTCAGTTTCCGGCGTGTCTGGATAATTACTCTGTGCAATAATTGCATCACAGAATTCGCAAGCAAAGCCATCTCACAACGAATCCCTACTGTCTTACTTATTGGCATCTCGCCTCCGATACATCTCAATATAAAGAATCAGTATCTTTCCATCGGACATATATCTCAGGCGTGTTTGTTAAAAGAAAATACTTGAGACCATTGTCCGTCTATCTGTGTATTCCACGGCATTCTGACAAACCACCATGCGTCTTCACAACCTCCCAACGGAAACCGCATTTCTATCAACCCTCCTCTTTCCACTCCTTTCTTCCGCGCTTGGAAATTTAGATTGTACGAACATAGTTGTCGACAAAAAGGCGTTCAATTTGGAAGCATTAGGTGGACCACGGTCGGCATTACACAGTGTTGAAGATTATGTTGGAGAAGCAGCAAAAGGATGGACAAATACAACATACACAATCGACCTTTGCAATCCTATAGTCAAGAAGGGTTTCTATGAGTGTCCAGGTGGGACAAGAGGTAATGTCTCTCCTTATTCTAGGTCTTGTTAAACTTTAGCCACGAGCCAATTCATCGTGTGTTACTCAGAGGGTCTTGGTTCACTAACATCCTTGATGGAACAGTTTGTGGCATAACACATGTTATCAATGAAGAGGAAGGATCAGACGCAACACAACAAATTGTTCCATTTGCAGGCGAATTACAAAATTACGGCGGAGGTCCTCTCGACGCTAAAGTGGAACGACTTAGCAACTCTAAATCTCATTCAGACGCCGACAAAGAAGGATTGCGTGTAGAGCTAAACGGTGGCTTTATCGGACGAGGGAAGAATAAGAGACCACAAAAAGCCATCGTGGAGTTTATTTGCGATGCGAACAGAACTGGGCTGGAAAATTTGTGGGTACCACCAGAGCCGAAAAACAAGCAGAAGGATGAGGAGAAGCACAATAAGAGGGAGGAAGAAGGGAATGATGATGAAGTGATTGGAGCGCCAGGCAACGATTCGAGTCTTCAATTTGTTAGGTTAGACAAAGATAAAGACGATGCAGATATCCTAAGGTTGACTTGGCGCACAAAGTATGCTTGTGAGGATGGACCAAAGGACGATGGTGATGACAGCAAAAGTTCACATTGGGGGTTCTTTACTTGGTTCATTATTGTGTATGTTTTTCCGTCCATAGTCGCTTTGTTTTACATCTCAGGCATAAAAGTAGTGAATGTAGCTAACAACTTTTTGACAGTGCATTCCTTTCAACGGCCGCATACTTGATTTTTGGATCTTGGCTCAACTACAATAGATATGGCGCTCGTGGATGGGACCTTCTCCCCCACGGAGATACGATCCGTGACGTTCCATATTTATTGAAGGACTGGTCCAGAAGAGTTTTGAGTACCGTACAAGGTGGTGGAAGTAGAGGAGGTTATGCGGCAGTATGACCAAGAGCCTTGGTCATCATCTGAGGGGCTGTGAAGGAGCGAATTTTCATATTTATAGGCATTGCAATACTGATAATTATTGGCGGACCACAATCGAGAGAGCGACAGGAGTTAGACATTTCTAGTGGAGGGCATCAATTTTGTATATCAATCATCATCTTGCTTTCCTGTTCGGTGTCAATTCTAGTTCTTCGCCCTTCTTACAAGCTTTCTTCTCTTACCGCAGTTGTACTATATATGTACAAATATCTCCAGATGCTGGCATGCTAGCCACAGCTGACCGCCAACGCATTTTGAGTAAGATTGAACAATATCAGCACTCGCCCTGCAAAAAGCTTTCTGCTGTCCCATGCCATTCAATTGTTCGAAGCAATTTGTGTATTGAAGGCATGCCTTTCGCAGGCGTAGTTATTCGAGAAGTCTCGCAATCATCTAATGAGATCAGTGTATCCATCATGGCACACTATATAAGCATGGGGGCCATTTAAAAGTCTAGGCATTTTTCATGAGGCTCAAACTTCGGGGCGTTGCGGCTATGTCGCTTTCAGATACCAATTTCTGGCGTTGACAACACTGGTTTAAACAGATTGATCGCCCGCGCCAGGTAGTTTCCTCTGTATCTGCATTGCGGCTCTGCCTTTCAACATCTTCACGAGCCATTATTATAACATCGAGTGATAGGCCTTGTGGCTTGAACGATTCAGGAAATTTGTAAAAAAATGGTGTGCTTACACTTCAGGGGCGGTAGAGATCTTGCCTTTGCGACCACCTTGAATGTCAAATTTCCTATTCATTTGAACCTCTGGGCCCTCAGCACGTGCTCAGAGTTGTTATGATGCTAGGTTTCATCCATTCTCTCAATGCTATGGCTTTATTTACCTATTTATTTATTTCTCGGTTCTCCTGTAGAATTTCCCTTTGAAGTTCGATTTCGTGGTTCCTATCATCCTTCCTAGCAAACTACCATTTCTTCATCGAGACTTGCAAACACCTCGAGATTACTTACTGATGATGGTATTTGATGAGTTTAATGCGAGGAATTTCGGAATCTTGGAGAGGAAGAAACCTGGTTTGGTTGTAATTGCATTGATATTTCTTTTTTCGTGGTAGACTTGGGTCAAGAGTCGGCTGCTGTGACAAAGATCAATGACCTTCAAGAGGAATCTCAGCCCATATGTTGACCTAGTTGACAACATTTTTACCTAAACATGAATTATCAAGTTTTGTGACAGATCATCGTGTTATCCTACAATTGAAGCCACTTTGGCAGAATAAAGAGGTACGGAAGCTGAGTGTATCTAGAGCAATGTCTTTTCTGTCGTTTCCACCAGCTCGTTGAGATCATGTCTTCTAGTCGGTCAGTCAGCTTCCAATATAAGTCGCAGATAAATTTTAATTTCTCTTCTTGGCCTTTTCCCGTCTGCAGTGCCCTTGTCTGCCGCCATATTTGTTCACAATTGACTTGGTCACAGCCCTAGATCCCGCAAAAGGACAATTACACATATATGAGCAACGAATGTATGCATGTAGCTTTTGATTGTTTCCTAATCATCGAGGCGTCATCCTTACATAATTGTACCCTGGGAAGTGCGGTTATTCTCTTGCTTGACCCCTTGGGAAAGAATGCCCTGAATCAAAAGGTGCAACGTTTACTATCCAGTAGATCAAACAAACGGGGCAACTTTGTAGTCAGCAGATCTGCAGTCACTTTTTCCCATTTTCGTCACAAAAACGCAGTCATCGGTCGAAGTGGGCGAGTTCAACCAATTTCGAAATGCTTGCCTACAGCCTTGTCAGTCTGACATGCGTCACTTGAAAAATAAAGCCTCAAGCATTTCGAAAACATTCATTGGTCGCCGAGTACAAATGCCCCAAATGCCCTGTTCCACTTTTTTACTATCACGATATCGTTTCGACATTTTCCCTTTTCAAGTCAAATAAGTATAAGAAGTTATCAAAGAACATTGTGAAAACCCATCCAACTCATTCATTCTTGCATACCAATATAAAAGGTCCATATACATCAAACATTCTACACACTTCACAATGCCAAATTCAAACCAATCATCGCCACCCCCACCTGCCTACACTAATCATGGTGATGTATCTGTAGCAAGTAATGAGACACTGCCAAGGGCGCCGGTAAATCAGCCAACTACCTCGATTTCTCATGAAATAGTAGATTCAGCTGCGACGATTCAGCAAATCGATGCACCAAGTTTCACGATAACAGCACCTGAGAATTCAGTATTTATGGCAGGCTTTAATACAGCAGAAAGTGACAAAAATTACCCCGATGGATTGCTTTCGAAACTTGAGAATGTTGTTCAGCAGCTGGAGTCATCCCAGGAAGAACGACTTATTACACGGCTTGAAAATGTTCTATCACGCCAGGCAGAGGCAAATTCCAGTTTGTTAAGTGAGAAGACAGACACCAGAAAACCAATCAAGCTTAAAGATGCAGTCGGGAGACGCTTCAGCTTCCCTTATCACCGATGTGAGACCTGGGCAGTAAGTTGAATCAAGCTCCTTCAGTTTTTTTTTTGTCAAATTAATTAACACTCTCAGGGAATCTCAGAACTCATTAAAGCAGCATTTCTTCATGTCGAAATCATCGGCCCACATGTTAACGAAGGACATTACGATATTATGAATCCGGCTGGGGAAGTCATCCTCCCTCAACTCTGGCAAGATCATGTCCAGCCTGGATGGGAGATCTCCATGTCAATGTGGCCAATTCCCGGCCCTCCCAAGCCAAGATTCCCAACACTAACACCGAATGCGCCGGTACATGTTATCGTGGATAGAGTGCTTGGGCCCGCTCCAAATTGCTTTCGGTCGCATCAACCAACCAGTTATTCTAGTGATTTGAGTGCCCAGGGCAAAGGAACTCGGGGATTGTGGCAAAAAATGAAAGGTGTATTTACAAGGAAAAAGTAAGTTGGAGGAGAATTACCTTGACTGAAGATGTAAACTAACTTTGCTTAAGGCTGACTTATGACTCGGACAGCAGCGAATCTAGTTGCTGTAATTGATTCCCAGTTCATCGTTTTCCGTCAGCCCAAGATCAGGGGGTTTGCTCTTGACACGAATGAGTTTATTTCATTTTACAGAAGTCAAGTAACTGTTGGACCGTGGAAATTACCAATTATTCCATAATTAGTCATCATTAAGAGATGTTCAAGATAAAGTTATGTCATCGACAGTCGTGCTTGTAAGCGTTTCAAAATTGATGGATTTTAATGGAATGGAATGACAGGCTAGGTGGGAATCGGCAATGTTTCTGGACGTTTCACAATTCTAGATTATCACAAACCAAAATTTTATAAGTTTTTACCTCATACCTAGTCAGAACATTCCTTCACAATTTTATAATCACTCCAATTGAGCTGAAAGCTCCCTCTGGGGCTCTTCACAACATAGCATGAGAACATTCAAGAACACCACTCCTTGTAGGACAAGTACATGCAAGGATTCTAAATAGATACTGCGGTTTCACTATTTCTCCTCTGGTATGAGTTACAAAATGACTGGGCTAAGGTGCAAATCTCGTGTTTGCGAGCCATTATGTTCCGCGATATCCATACGTTGACCGGTATTTCTACCACCACCACTACCTCACCTTCCTAGATTATCAAATTTGAAAGAGAAAATGAGAAACAAATAAACAGAACTGCAAAAATATATTACTCCGGGTGGGACTTGAACCCACAACTTTCGACGGTCATAATAATCTGATTTCTCAGAAGGATATAAGATCGACACGCTAACCATTCTGTATGATAATGTCAGTTTGGAATCTTTATTTTCTTTATAGGTAGCAGTCGCATTAACTTACGCGTCACCGGGGTTTTCATGTTTGGCATGTTTGATGGAATCGGTACGGTTTTTCGAATAGTTAATCATAAACTTGAGAATCTGGGAAGGATTGAGTGAATTGCAGTGGGTCATTGTGGAACTTAGCCGAAGTTTGGTGGAAGGTAGGTATTGTAGCTTGGGAAGGAACGACAAGTCTGTACTTGGAACTGTCTCGTCAAGATCATTGGCTATGAACAACAAATTCCTCAAACATCTATTCCCTCAAAAGATACTCAATAGTCCAAACTGTAGTTCAACAATACAGGGCTTTGAATATCTAAAAGCAATCAAAAATTCCACCAGAATTCAACATTCCAATCGAATTCAACATCTCAAACGATTCGAGTATTCAAGCCAGTTTAGGGATATAATAATCTTCATTTCTGAACTGCAATCCGGACTATTGAACACTCTGTTCCTTAAATCATATCCAGTAAGATAACTAGTATAAGAATCTAAATCCTCTATCAACAGCAACTTCTTCTCCCTCGCCCTCTTCAACGCTCCTTCCTGGGGCAGCTCTACTGTTAACTCCCTCTACAATCTCCCCTCTATCTAACTTCTTATTCAACCCAATCAAATGAAATCGGAGTATCGTTGCAAAAACAATCGATACCACTGACATTGAAAGATTAACATACATTGCTTTCGCATAACGAGGTGCATCGCTGCCTATGAGAGGTTAGAACGATAATTTGCCAATATAAATGCAGCACCAGGGGTAATGAGAGCTTACTAGGATAAAGGTATGGTGAATAAATTTGAGCCACGTTACTCAACGCATTGATACCGGCGAGAGCAGCTGCACGCTTAGATGGAGGTCGAGGAAGTACTATGTACCATCACATTAGTCTCTGCAACCAACCTGGAGCCATTATTCAACATACCATTTGATATCCAACTAAGTGCAACAACGTATCCCGAATAGTTTGCTCCCACCATGAGGCACATGGCCAAGTATCTCGGTGCAAACTTAGTCGTGCCAGCTGCAATGGCAAAACTGATAAAAGCCAAAACCGGTGGTCCAGCAATGTGTAGATATCTTTCACCACTTGCATCTGCATGCCATGCATTACAAAGAATGGCAACAACAGCAATTAGATATGGGGGCGTCGTCAAGAGAAGTGTTTCAATATTGCCCCTGCCAAGCCCTTTAACAACTGATGGGAACAGAGTGGTGACGGTGCCCGCGGATGTAAATCCATAGATAGTGGCGAGAAGAAGCCATGCTTTCGGATCTTTCGCAGCGAGTTTGGCGCCGTGTAAGAATGTTTGTTGCTTGCTATCAACCCAGTCGTCTTGTCCTATATCTTCTTCTAATCTCCAGGCTGCGAGTTCTTTCTCGTCTTCAGATAGCCAACTTGTTGTACGTGGAAGATCGGGCAGGATGAAAAACGCAAACAGCGCTATGAAAACCTGTATTTGTTAGTGAATTGGAACTTCGAAAAATTGAGGAGTCAATTTATGAGGACGAACTGTAATCGCGCCCTCGACGATAAAAAGCCACCTCCAAGCACTAAGACCTCTGGCGCCATCCAACCCATTTGTTATACCTGCCGTGATCAACCCTGAGAACGCACCCGAAAGTAGAGATCCTGAGTATAAAAGAGCCGTTCTTTTGACAAGTTCTTTACGTGTGTACCAAGCAGAAAGGTAATACAGGCAGCCGGGCTAAATTATGATTAGAAGATGATGTAGTGTGAGGTGTAGTGAAATATATGACTTACAAAGTAAGCCGCCTCAACAAATCCAAGAATGAATCGACAGGCGAGTAGACCACCATAAGTTTGACACCCAGCTGTAGCCCCCGAGATAACCCCCCAAACTACCATACATCCAGGAAGATAAAGGGAGGGTTTGCCAAGCTTGTTAAGAAGAAGATTAGATGGCACTAATAGGGTCCTCGTCAGCAATACTCCGTGATCTTGCTTGCTTCTGGGCTCGGGTAATTACCTTGCATCAGCAAATATCCCACAAACAGAATACTAACAGAAGTCTGAAACTGATCTCCAGTCAACTGTAAATCTCTTTCTAGTCCAGCTAATTTTGCAGCAGCGATATTGTTACGGTCCAGGTAGTTCATGACATAAATAAGAACAATCATAGGAAGTAATCTCGTATCGACTTTTCGCCTCAGTGAAGTTTCAATTCTCTTACGATCTTCTGGTGTAAGATTGCGTACGTAGGCTGGAGCACGACCAGATTTCGCGGGTGTTGAGGAGGCATATTCTACGAACTCTACTTCGTTAGAGTTGATCTTAGTATCGGTTTCGGTATCCGTTGGGGAAGCTCCAATGGGTGCCATAGCTCATATGATGCAATTCTTGCGGTATTCGCGATTGATAGGAAATGATATTGTTGATCTAGAATTGGCACAAGCTTCTAAAATTATATTGGGGATAGAAAGTAACTCTTACTGGATATACCAAGGTAAGATCTAAATAAAAGATAGCTTGAGAACTCACAATTTTGATGAAAGCTATCACAGCTATAAAGAAATGATACATGGGGACATACAGCTCAATATGCGGTATGCGGGGCCCCTCACTTCCCCCGCGTTACCCCACGGCTCACGGAAAAGGACATTGCAACCTTGCCATCACTTATGCTCTTAGACCTGCGATAGCAAAAACGCCCGAAAGGCACGTGGTATTGCTAAAGATTTGCATACGGGTATGCAGCTGTTCAAACATGAATCATATTATACATATCCGGTCGGCTGCTGCAGAGTTTCCAATAGTCCGGACTGCAGTCCAACAATAAAGATTGTTGAATCCGTAAACCAATGAGAATATTTCAAGTCATCTAAGATATTGAATTTGATTAAGACACTAAACTCTTTTCGAACTTCTAACTGCTTTTAGATATTAGAACCCTTATATTATTGGACTGTAGTCCGGAATAGTGGTACCCTGAGCTGGTATCTTGGTTCCGTATAAACGGATGAAGCTGAGGATGAGAAAAGTGTGTGGCGAGTGCACAGCCGGAAATGTCAACGGCATAATGCGGAGATGTGAAACAACTACTGTTGGTGATATTTCCGGATATCAGATGAGGCTTTAGAATGGCTGGCACTGTGACGTGAACAACGCAATTCTACCCTGACACTTACCAGATTGCGTTTGGCCCTTTGATGCTATCTGACTTGATAAGCTCCTCTCATTTCAATGGCAGGGTCACAGCACGAGAATAGTAAAATGGGTGTGTTGAGAGATAACAGCGTCACATAGAGCACGAATAAGAACGACTAATACGAGTGGCTTATAATCAAAGATATTGAGAATATTGCACTAAATAGAATAAACTTCAAAATGATGAATACAACAAGCGTACATCGAAGTGATCACCACTCCTTTTTCCAACTATCGATAAATTTCTTGACCAGCCCACTCCCCACAATGTCGCATCCATTCTTAATAGCCACGGACTTTGAACCCGTCTTCTCCGTTCTGAAGACAAGTCCCTGTCGACCAGGTTTGTCATTATCATATTTTTCAGTGAAGAAATCCAAAAGTTTTATCGTTGGGTTCTTATCCGGATCTTGTTCGCTCTCCCTGAGTAGCTTAATCCATTCTCTTTGATTGACAATATCAAACTCTAATCCCGCTGCATGTAAAGCAGGAAGAAGGTCATTGGTCCAGGAGAAAGTGTGTGAGTTTTGTACATGGTAGACAATGTCTCTTAAGTCCGATTCATGCATGGATACATCTTGTGAATATTTCTCGAGGCCAGCGATCTCTAGAACAGATTTTGCAACAATATCAACAGGTAACCAGGAAGGTGTCTATATATCATCGTTAGTATTGGCATCAAGAGTGTACACTATGGTGATTCTCACCTCATCTAGGGCCGGTAGAGCATGAAGTGTTGTAGCACTTCTTATCATCAGTGAGATGGCCTCTGTACTGTTCCACAGACCTTCCATTGTATCTCCAACAATCTGACCAACTCTCAAAACCTTTGCCAGCATTCCAGTCTGTCTCGCAGCTTCTCCGATCACCGTTTCAGTGACTAACTTTGACCGAGCGTATCCCATATTTTGAGCATAATTCAGATTTGTAATGTACGTTTCCTCAATCGTCGCAGGCAAAGGAGTACCTGCTGCCGCTGATATGGAAGAACAGAAGAATAACTTTGCGGGAAAGGGCATGCGGACAGCGAGGCACAAATTCAAGAG